AGAGAGAGAGCGAAAGAGAGTGAGAGAGTTTGCATCGGTCAAGTGGAATAGTGCTTTCTCTCATTTACTTGGTCGGTGCAGTGCATTGACAGCACACCTTCTCACAGGTTGATAGTCAGGTTTTCACTGTCTACTTTCTCTTGACTAATCACAATGCGGTAGATAACTGGTCGGTAGTGCTTTAAAGTAGACTGGAAAGAAGAAGAAAAGGTTACCGAGGGTCATTGGGGACAGCACGAAGAAAGGGGAGAAAGACATGTGAAATATGAAGAAGCAGTTTGAAGAACAAATGCACTCAACTACTGAAGCTTCTGCTGCTGTCGGTTTGTCACTACCGATTGCTCAGAGGAAAAGAATCGTTTTTGATTGTATCAGTAGTTTGCTTTTCGTTTTATCATTTGTTTTTGTAAAAACGTATTTTTTTGTTACCTTGAAACCCAACTTACATTGTAAGGAGTTTATAAAAATAACATTAGGAAAAATGAGGTATTGTGTAAGGCAATTTTTATCTTGCAGATTTTCACTTTTTGCATTGACAATTTTTAAAAAAGGGGATTTTTACTAGAAAACAGCTGTTTGTTCTTTTTGTTGATTGTCGTGAGCAAAATGAGATGAATGGGTAAGTGATTGAGGAAAAATTATTTCAGCAAAACTTTTGCAAAAACTGTTTAAGAAACAAAAAAAAGCAATGCTTCTGGTGTTTGCTGTAGTGTGACAAATCAAATAGTGATGACAACTTTTTTAATTAAATCAATGCTTCACTAAAGTAATTATTAATTATTTCCCAATCAACAAGTAATTACTTTTTATTTGAAAATTGTTATGGTGATCCTAATCAGCAATTGTTTATAAATTAACCAAGTTATTATTTGAAAAACATTTTTTAAGTTTTTAATATTAGAAAACTAAATTCATACTGTAATGAAAAGCAGTTGTCATGCAATTCAGCTTTTAAAATCATATAAAATCAGTAAAATTTTAAAATAGTTTTAGTTTTAAAAACTTGTTTTTACCTTGTCAAATGACATAAATCACAATTGTTAGTAATATTTTTACATTGAAGTTTGTTGAAACTTTAAATCAGTATCACAAATTTAAAATAACCTTTCAAATCTTTCAAAAGAAAAACAGATTCTTCATAATTCGTTGACATTACTGCAAACTGTTTGTTGTGCTACCCAAGATCAATTTTCTGGCATGACAACCAGAATGCAGACTGTTAAACATAGAATGATCATCTGCAGAACATATTCATTCAAAACAGTACAAAGAATGCTTAGCAACTATTTAATGCCAACAGTACTTTTTTCTCTACCTAAAGCCATTAATAAAACACAAGTACAGTACAAAAACTAATTGTCTTTTGCAAATAAACCAACAAGCGTTATGCGTTGAATTTTAAAACTAAACCATTTACATATTTGTATAACTTTTGCGACTGTTAGAAAAATTTATGCAATCATTAAAATCTTTTATAGCTGTTACATAAATTGATCGGTTCAAAACATTTCTATTTTTGAAAGGGTAGTAGTTCACTAAACTTGCGTTAGATGGAGTCATTTGTCGGTAGCGTGGCTAAAAAATTGTTGTTGACGTGAGCAAAAGTGTGTGATTTCACTCCATGAGACACTCTTGAATTTGCATCTTATTTTACCGAAAAGGCCGATCGCTTCAACTGGTTTTTATCTGGTGAAATCATGTCGAAAACGGCGAAGCAATCATCAGCAGGTGGTCTCCTGGAGGAGAAGCGCCAGTGGCACACCATTTACCCGCAGTACATCAACAGCAATCTGACCATTCAACTGGGTCGCCGCTTGGCCAAGTCCAAGTGCGTTCCTGATCCTCGGTGGCAGGAGATTCGAGACGTTCTCGCCGTCAACTCGGCCAAGTTTGATGTTGAAGCCTTTCCTGATAAGGTCTACAATCGTGAGGTGGACAAGGAGAACTTGGTCAACCGTGGATACATCAAATATCGCCTGAAAGATAGTAGCTTCAAAAACAAAGCCGAGGTGCTCACTTTGGTGGCTCAGTTAATACCCAAACTGAAAACCCGACAGAATGTGAAAACTCCAGCCGATTCAGCAAAGCCATCCAGTTCAACTGCTGCGTCAAACCAACAATCGAATGCACCTAGCGGCGGTGGTGGGGGCGGCGGTGGTGGTGGTGGCAACAAGAAGAAGAAGGGTCGTAGATAATTTCATCAAGTAATCATTTATGTTTGAACTGGCTTGCCAAAAAAAGCACATCAGGCCATTTTAATTTTAAGTTATGTTTTTCCTTTGAATAATAATACGCAATTTTTTCAAACATAACCCAACTGCTTGTTTGTTTGTTTTAATACATTAACTGTTTGGATGCTTGTGTCAATAGCGAAAGGAAAAACAACCAAGTAAGTGCATAAATTATTCTAGTGTATTCGGTTCTAATGGAATTATTTATTACTCTCCATACAGAATTTATACTTGTCGCATGTGGATTACTTTTTATTTTCAAAAATCATTTTCTTCAATGAAAAACTAACCATCATTTACAACTTTCATCAGGATGAATTTAGTACTTGAAAATGTAAAATGGCATTCCATTCGAGACAACTAAATGACCGCTAAGAAAATTCATAATTACTTAATCAAACCAACCACAAGATCCACAATNTACTTTTTATTTTCAAAAATCATTTTCTTCAATGAAAAACTAACCATCATTTACAACTTTCATCAGGATGAATTTAGTACTTGAAAATGTAAAATGGCATTCCATTCGAGACAACTAAATGACCGCTAAGAAAATTCATAATTACTTAATCAAACCAACCACAAGATCCACAATGAATTTGTATGTGTGTGTGTGTTTGCCGAGTGACCATTGCTGGTTGATTTACTGAGCCACCAGCCGCAGTGCAAGCAAAGTGTACAGCACTTTCCATTTAGCACATGATGTGCTTCTTCTGCTCCTTCGAGACGGCTGCTAATGGACAGAACAGCAGCAGACAATGCTATCTCAATAATTTGCTTGTGCAAATTAGGCGTGATTCATTATGGGGGCAAATTGAATTAGGCGGCCAGATAAATCGCAACCGACTGCAAGACCGACTTCTGCTCTAACATCTGCTCCAGCTGCCGTACACGGCTTGACCAGACATGGCCACTGTCTTTGAGTGTGTGTATGCGTTGTGAATTGCTCACTGACTCAATGGTCAGCGANCAATGCTATCTCAATAATTTGCTTGTGCAAATTAGGCGTGATTCATTATGGGGGCAAATTGAATTAGGCGGCCAGATAAATCGCAACCGACTGCAAGACCGACTTCTGCTCTAACATCTGCTCCAGCTGCCGTACACGGCTTGACCAGACATGGCCACTGTCTTTGAGTGTGTGTATGCGTTGTGAATTGCTCACTGACTCAATGGTCAGCGAAATGGTCAGTAGAGTCAGCAAAGTGTACAAGGTACCAGCAAGTGTGTGTTCTCTGCTCATTTCCTGACTTCGCAACACTTGTCTTCACTTGGCAGCCATTTGACATTGCTGATGCTGCTGATGTTCTGCTGGCCAGTTTTGCAGACTGTTCAACCGACATTAGTTTGCTCTCTGCTCTTTCTCTGCCTTAAAAAGACGATTCACTTCAGGCTGCATCAGAAGTATGGCCTGATGAACTGGTTCTTGGGAAATAAATAAATAAATATATCGTAAATAGCTGTAGAGGGCAGCAGCCTGAACCGCCAGCCTCAGCAATGCTGAGTCAGCATCAACATCAACATCATCAGCGACCAATGGGCGCACTTTGAGTGGCGGCGAACAAATCTAATTATTGGCCTTGCCTTGAAATAGCAAATCCCTGTCGAGTCAGCAAAGAAGTGATGTCGAGTGCTGGAACAAAGAGAGAGAAAGAGAGGTTTGCAATGAGACCGAGTTGGCATTCGGATAGTACCATGCTAATCGACTGTGACACTGGCCGCTTATTAATTCGACCTGCCTCTCGGTCTGCCACTTCATTTTCGGTGCAGGACAGCACAACATGTTTTGAAAGAAGTGATGCCTCACAGTGAATCGGCAGCATTTGCATCTGTGAAGTTGGTTTGTCGCCTGGACAGCTTGTACACCCCTGTCACTGACTCAGCCTGACTCAGCAGTGCACCACACTTCACTGTCTATTTGTGCCGTTTTTGGCCCTTTTCGCCGATGAACTCCGCTGCTCAATGCAGATGCAATTAATTGTCACAATTGTCAGCGGAACATTGTTTTGCCATCAGCCAATTAATCTACATCATTGCATTTTCTCCTTCTTCTTTTTCGCTCTCTTTCTGTTCACATTAATTCCTCTTTTTTATTATTTCATTAGCCCGACTCTAACGAGCTCTAAATTGATCATTCAAAGTAGGAGCATTTAATTGAACGTTGCCGTTTTTGGAAAAGGATATACATTTTAATCTGGATGAAGGCGATTCAGTGTAGACAACATGGCCTTGCTGAGGGCAACACAGAGCGCACTTGAGAGAACGAGAGACCATAAATTCTTCACATATCTAGTTTGGGTGATCAGTCAATGGTGCCGTTGAACTGTGTGTGTTTGTATGAGCTGCTGATTGCGAAAGTGCACCGCCAAAGGCTGTCACTGGTTGCGACAATGGCTTCGAATCTTTCGTTGGTGTTTTATGCTTGCTCGATCAGCAATCATCATCCTCCCTAGCAGCAGCACTCACCCCTCACATTGACCTTTGAGCACGCCTTTAATCTGCTCTACTGCACAGCACAACTGCACAACCAGCCTCAAACTCCAGTATTTATCTTTTAGATGACTTCTGTCCTCAGTACCAGATATCAATGAGAGTTGCCTTTTTGCACTCATTCACTCACTCATTCACTCACAGAGCACTCTGCCAGGCACGTCTATCGACAAGTGAAGTGTCACCGAAGTGTTTGCTGCTTCTGCTGCTGTTGTTGTTGTCCCCTTTTCCTTCCCCTCTTTTCCCTCCCCTTCTCTTTTCCCTGCCTTTCTGATCGATCAACCGGTCGTTGATTGCCCTGTTCTGAAGTTTTCGTTCCTTCAGTGCCAAGTATTTGACTGGTGAAGCACACTGGTGAGGCACCATTGCCATTGTCACAGCGCAATTGATGCAAGCTCCTACTGGTGCACTATTCCCTTTCTTTGCATTTAGCTTGTAAATGCATCGTTTTAACGCTTTAACCAGAAAGCTCTTTAGCGTTTGCCAGAACCAACTTGACAGTAGTTCGGCAACGTTCATTTCAAATTTGTTCACATTTATTCAGTTGGGTGAATGGGTATTCCCTTGACTGACAGTCATTAATTAGCACACATTTTCAGGCTTTCTCCTCCGAATGATTAGATATTGGAAAGTAGTGCAATTAAAAATAATGATTCTCTGAGCAATTTTGAGCGACGTTTCGGATCAGAGAGAACTATCATTTTTGCCAAAACCGAAGTTGCCGTCTCAATTAAGTTCACAGTTTATTGTTTTCTTCACTACTTGATCGTGAAAGGACGTTGAGCTTGAATTTTGTTGTTGTTCCTAAATCTCCCCTAATTAGTTTTCTATTGAAGGGCATTAAAGCGATAAACGACCATAGCCTGGTTTACTTTTGTTTTAAAAAAGTGGAAACTGTATAGAGTCGAAAAGTTTAGCAAACAAAGTTCTAGACCAACAAAACGACGCCAGAAAAGCTACCACAAAGCCGTTCAGTGCGTTCAGGCGAGATCGTTCTAATTTCCCCAATGAAATGCGATTCGATTATTGGCGAATTGAAAATCGATCGGTTTCAGGCTGTGCTCCTCGTTGTGGCAGCAGTTGCGGCGCCCTCCCCAGGACGCTTCTTTATCGCTGATTTCTTTTCCTGGTTTCAGTATCTTCAATTATTTCAATTGGTCATTTGTCTGTCTCTCGCACTCTTTCTTTGTGCTTGAGTGTTGATGATTGGCGGGGAAAATGGATATTTTCATAAGGCAGCAAACAATTTATATTTGCGCTGAAATGAAAATCAGCTTCCGTACTCCGGAGCGACCGGGCACATAAGTCGTTGGGAACAGAATGCCGTCATCACACATTGCAGAGACAAGCAAATGCAATCTAAGGAAAAGTGGTGTGCTAGCTTCTGATCATTGTTTGCCAAAGAAAGTGGTCACGCAAAACTTTTAGTCATTCCCGCTGGTTGAGGAAATTGAGTTTAACTACTATAGTTTGGGAGAGGGAGCCAAATCGTTAACGCAATCAATTCTGGGCATTTAGGTGAGGCACACGAAGAGAGTGACTGGCTGACTTGTTTGACGGACAGTGACAGTGACATAACTAAATTTGTCTATTTAGAAATGAAAGTAAAGAAGAGTGTACGTGCAGCTACTTTAGACCTTTTTTTGGACAGTGCAGTTTCTTCTTAGAAGGTTANTGAAAGTAAAGAAGAGTGTACGTGCAGCTACTTTAGACCTTTTTTGGACTGTGCAGTTTCTTCTTAGAAGGTTGAAAAAGGCAATAAAAAGCCATTCCAACAGCCTAACTATGTGAACAAATTCTCGAGAGGGACAGATTAATTTGCTCTCAGACAGGTGTCTACTCTTGGTGAGGGTATTTTCCATTGTACTCGGCGCAGACTGCACCGGCCAAACCGGTCCGCTCATCATTCAATTGTTTCAATGGCTTTTTCTTCTTCTTCTTCTTTCTCTCCATCATTGTGAACGTGCTTCATTACAGAGCGACTTCGTCAGCGTCTGTTGAGTGAACCTATGTTATCTGTCTTCATCAACCAGCACAGTCTGATTGTATTTGTAGTATATTGATTATGACCTGCTGAACAAGCACTACTGATCATCCTTTCTCTCTAACGAACTCTCACAGTAGTCACCTGTTCATCGGTGACCCTGTGTTCAAAAGCAGATGGGCAGAAGTAAACCTCCACTGTCTCGAGGAGTGCATGTGTCATGTTTCCACTGACAATGGTGACACGAACAGTCGATTAGTTCTGTGCATGTGTCCGCTTGCAAACAATGCCGTGCGCACTGGTGGACAAGGCCATCGAAGTGGCAGACGACCAGACGGAGACAACAATTGAAGGGGGCAAGGATAGACGAGTTGACTAGCAAGAAGGAGGAGGAGGAGAAGGACACAGACGGCGGAAGGAGAGCCACCGGGCGCCATGCATCGGTGAACATCATCACATCGGCAATCGCGCCGACTCGATCTGCAGTGGT